CCCAACTTGGTTCTTTCATGAATTAAGGTTATGGACCATTTCTTGTTCAGTATTTTTCGAACATACAGCTCTAATTGTTCTATTTTTATAAGAATACAAACAATAACTGTATTATACTTTTGCATGTGTTACTCTCTGATAAACAATTAGCCACAAGAGTTTTCATAGTCTTTATATTTTGTTATGGTATGTGCAGATGGGTGCTGAATTTTATTATTATTATACTGACTAAAGGCTGACACAGATATAGATCATACAACACATAATTGTTTCCATGTTTATAAATGTTAATAGTTTTTGTGTGTTCTCTGTGAATCACCACACAAAATCACAACCCCATATGTTGTGAGCCACATGGTAAGTATTTTGGTTGCTGAACCTCCCAAAGCCAGGCTCTGTATGCTGACCACCAGTCTAACTAACATACTTTCTCTCTTGTTTTTCTCTTTCATGTATCCCCCGTCTTGCCTGGTGCTGTTCCTGTTTATTCCCTGACTTCTGTTAAATCCTGACTCACCAAATAAGGTAAGAAATAGTTTTGATCTACAGCATATTGTTCACAACAATGCCATTAAACATATAGAGCAACACAAACTTTCATGACTCTACAAACAGCACTGATTACTGATGCACTGACAACTAAACAACAGATCTCTAGATCAGTGGTTCTCAACCTTTTTTGGTGTCAAGGACCCCAAACTAATACACATCAGACCACGTACCCATATTTGATGAGATGTAGTCTCAGGGATCCCCATCTGATAAGATTTAGTTATTCCATAACTGTCTATACTGTAGAATAGATTACAATATATATACAATGAAGAGTATGAAACCTCTTCTTTCATTCTAATACATTCTCTCATTGGGCTGACTTTTGGCCAATGGAAAAATTGTTCCCCATTTTTCTGGGGACCCCCTGGAACACCCTCAAGGACCTCTGGGGGTCCCCTAACCCCATATTGAAAACCACTGATCTAGATCACCATGTAGTAACAGAAGTTTCCAAACATTACACACTGAGTCAAGCCGTCAGATTTTCCACAAGTGACACCTCTGTTCACATACCTCACAAAACATGTATTACTACTGATGATGTCTTCAATCAGACATTGCTGGATAGACATTTTGTTGACAACAGATCCTGTGTGACAGTGTGAATGGCAATAATAGGATGTGATGTGTTTTAACTGACTGGGCTGTAACACTGAACTATACACATTATCACATGGACACAATTTACAGTATACACTGTAAATAAGTGGACAATTACACTTTAGTACTAGTCTCTGGGTATTAAACAATAAATTCAACTTTTAGACTGTAAACTTTAATCTGAGGATATTTTAAAGCAGTGATTTTGCATCTATACCCTGTTTTTCATGGTGCCAAAGTACATTTGAACAAGGCGAACAGCTCTCTCTACTAACCGGCTTATATGGTTTAAGGAAAGTATTACCGGGAATACCAGCTGGTAAAGTAACTCATGCCTGAAATGAGTTCCACTGATTATACTGTCCAGCACTGTATCTTGGGTTTTGGCTTGTATTTTGGTGTTTTCCATCCACTTTATATATTCCATCATAAAGCAAGACATTACATTCATTCAAGTATTAAAATACAGTGGGTCAAATTCAGGTTCTAGATCTGTATTTGTCTCCGAGGGGCAATTGCTTCTGCTGCAGCAACAACAAAAAAATTACCTTAACAACAACAACAACAGCAACACATCATGACACAGGTAAAAGATAAAAAGCCACACATACATAAACAAGTGCAACAAAGCAACAACAGTAGAGAAAAAAACCATGTGATACAATCATATGCTATGGACATCATAAGCCAACTGACAGTACATCACACATACACAACATATCAGAGGAAACTTACAATAACTTGGACCAGCAATATGCTGATTAAACTCATTTGATATTATTTTATATATAAATAATAAAAATAATAATTAATAAAGATAAAATATCAGTTAGCTTTGGTAAAAAGGAAACCACTTTAGTCTGTGAAACGTCAGCACTTTGTAGTACTTTTGTACTGGAATGTTGCTTTTTCTTGCTGAAAAATACCAAGTATAAAGTTCTATAAAAGTATGTAATATTAAAGTATAAACATAGCATAATAAAATATTTTATATGTATAAAAACTTGAACAAGTGCAGCAATACCTTGACCTTATTGTTGTACTTTTGTATGCACCTTATTTCCATGTCCTGTGTTTACTGCAGTACAACTCTTTTAACTTAATTCGGTATGATTCTGGCAGATCTGCTCCACTGTTTATTTATTCCTGCATTCAGTAGGAAAAGGAGGCTGAGTCTGTGTTTTCCTTCCTGCCTGCCGTCTTCAGTGAGAGCCTATGAAGCTCTCTGCCTCTCACAGCAGCATGCAGCAGCGGCAGTTGGCCGCCTGTGTGGCGCTGTCCACACTTGTGGTGCTGAAAGCAGCTCCAGCCCTCTCCCCCTCCCTCTCGCTGTCTTTCACAATGACTCTCTACATCTCCCTCTGTCGCCCACCTCCATTTAGAGCAGATGACTGTTGCAAACACTTATTTAGTAGATTTTTCACATTATTTTACAAATATTATCTTTGATTATCTTATGTACCATTTGCAGCATTGGATTTAGGCGTTTTGAGCGTTATATTGGATATGTGTGTAATGGTTGTTGCCAGCGGAGGGATATTGCAGGATGTGTGATGGTGCGTGGGTTTTAGAATGATTTGATTGTTAATGATGACCAAACATCTATTTAATATGAAAGTGTAACACTGGCTAATGTCGTCGTTAATATGTATAATTGGTAAGTGGTGTGAAAATGTTAAATAATCCTCTGCGTGTGTGTGTGAGAGAGAGAGAAAGAGAGGGAGAGAGAGATAGGGAGGGAGAGAGAGGAGCAAAACGGAAGTAAACGCCTTCCCACACCATCTGCGCTCCCCCTCCCTTTTCATTTGCTCTACAGACCTCCATACGGGTATTTCACGTTGGCCGCTGACAGAATTATATCTCTGAGCCTTGTTGAGAGCTTTAAAGACGTAATGACGTATGCAGGCTGCATTGGCTTTCTTTAGCCACAGGAAGGCAACGAAGAGCCTTGTCAACCACAAAGGCATGTGCATGCATCATACATGCAGGTGCATACAGGAAAGAGGGTAGATGGATTCACACAAAGTGTTATATGATCATAATGAGCAGTTATTCACAAGACACTATACTAACTAATCTATTATCTACCGATATATATCCATAATGAGTGATATATATATATATATATATACATATTTTTATCTATAGTCCTCAAATACACATTTAAATATCGTTGCAGTTGATGTGGAGATTAATTCAATTTTAATTAGTAGTATAAGGATAAGGATATTTCTTATCATACCAACAATACCCTGGATATTTTCTCTATGGATCACACTTTACGTCACTAGTCTGTAGACGTTTACTAATGCCATGGTTGGTGGAAATAGCTACACTCTGTCCACCAATGAGATCCAGAGCTGTACAAAGAGATCTACTCCCTCTCACTGTGTAGCTTGAGCGTCCTAAGCATTACGGTGTTCTGCACGGGAGGAGAGGGATGCATATGCAGACACAAAGCATGAATGTCACTGTTATGTATGTGGACGCATCTACTTTGGATTATAGACCATCTATACCTAATCAGTTAAGAAATTGGGATTGGAGTGAAAAGATATGGGATTTATGGAACGAGGAATAATGTGGACCAAATTGCCTGCATGGCAGGTGTTTTTGTGGTGGCATCATTTCTTTCTCTTGTGGAGTACAATAGACGGACAGACTCGTTACAGCATCCCGGAGGAACTGAAACAGGGCTCTGTGGTAGGAAATCTAGCCAAAGATTTGGGTTTGGGAGTATCTGAACTGTATCGACGTAAATTGCGGATAACCTCGGATGCTGGTAAGCAGTATTTTAGTGTGGACTTGGGGAAGGGCGAGCTGGTGGTGATTGATAGGATAGATCGGGAGGAACTGTGTGGACAAAGACCGTCATGCTTATTGCCTTTGGAACTAGTGATAGATAACCCACTACAGCTGCATAGAGTCGAAATTGAAATACAGGATACAAACGATAATTCTCCCAGTTTTCTTACTAAAGAGAAAGTGGTGAAAATTGCAGAGCTGGTAAATCCAGGCGCGCGATTTCCTTTGGAAAGTGCACAGGATCCCGATGTAGGCACCAATTCTGTACGCTCTTACCTCATAAGCAAAAATGACAATTTCAAATTAACTGTTAAAAATCACAAGGACGGACGAAAAATCCCTGAACTGGTCCTAGAAAAACCACTTGATCGAGAAAAGCTGCCTGTGCACAATCTCATCCTCACCGCTGTAGATGGTGGAGATCCGGTGCGCTCAGGGACATCTGAAATTACAGTTATAGTACTTGACAACAATGATAATGCGCCACAATTTGAAAGACAGGTATATGAGGCTAATGTCAGCGAAAAGGCAACACCTGGAACTGAAATATTGCATGTCAAAGCTACAGATGCAGACGAAGGATTAAATGGAGAAATTGAATATTTTTTCGCAGAGCAAACTCCGGATTTGATTTTATCTTTATTTGACATTGATCCTTCTACTGGAGCTGTTGTTGTCAAAAGCATTTTAGACCATGAAACGAACTCCTTGCATAGATTTGACATAACTGCTAAAGACAAAGGTAATCCTGAGATGGATGGGCATTGTAGCGTCGAAATTAAAGTTCTTGACATTAACGACAATATACCTGAAATAATTGTGACTTCTTTGACAACACCTGTTCCAGAAGATTCTGCAACAGGAACAGTGATTGCATTGATAAGTGCAAAAGATCCCGATTCAGGTGAGAATGGCAAAGTTACGTTGAGGGTGTCTTCTAAATCCCCTTTCAAGTTAAATCCGTCAGTCTCTAATCATTACTCTTTAGTCACGAATGGGCCACTTGACCGTGAAAAAAATGACCAGTATAGAGTCAAGATAATTGCTACTGATTCTGGAAAGCCCCCATTATCGAGTGAAAAAATAATACTCGTTGAACTGTTAGATGTAAATGACAACCCACCAGTTTTCTCCCAACCTTCTTATGTGATTTATGTAAAAGAGAACCAGCCTCCTGGGGAGATTTTGTGCTCGTTATCAGCAACTGATCCTGATGCGGGTGAAAACGCCAAAATCTCTTACTCTATACTGGACTCTAAAGTGCAGGACGTTT